AGTAGAGACCTGTGTTTCCAGTCTTGATGCGTGTGTTGTTTCCAGTCCGGACCCCTCTGAGCATCTTTGTGTAGGGGTTGCAGCTACCACTAGTCTAGCACTAGCCTTTGTCGCTGGCTCGGGTGCGACCTCACAGACTACACAGCTTTCCTTCACCCTAGACTCTGGAGCATACAGCTGCTTCTTTCGTGACTGTACTGACCTCACACCACTGCGCACTCTAGTCACTGTCGCCTTGGCTTACCCCTCCGTGGGACCTGTAGTTGCCCACAGCACCACCACTCTCCTGTGTCCGGTGGCTCCCTCTGGGTTTCTCACAAGTTACTACACCCCGAGGTTCTCCAGGAATCTGGTGGGTGTTAGTCACCTCCACGACCTACGCGTAGTCACTACTTTCCCACTGGACGAGCCAGTTGCCTCCTACACAGTCGGTGCCACTGGGGCGCCTCTGGCCACTTTCCACAGGGAGCCGGGCTCTGGTCTGTACTCACTACACACTGGGTCCCACCACACTGGGTCAGGTCAGGTCAGGTCAGGTCAGATAGCTGCTGTGTCGTGCGACTGTCGGTCACTCACCCACCCGTCGGTCCTCTGGCACCACCGTCTAGGTCACCCGTCGTTCCCACATCTCAGTAGGATGGCACGTTACCGTCTGGTCTCAGGTCTCCCACAGTCAATTGCCCCGCTTCCTCGCTCGCCTGCGCCGCCGTGCACTCCTTGCGTCGAGGGTCGGCAGCGCGCTGCCCCTCACTCCTCCTCGTTCCCCCCCACCACGGCTCCCTTCCAGAACCTGCACTTGGACGTTTGAGGCCCCTCCCCGGTCCGTGGCCCACGTCAGGAGCGCTACTTCCTGATTGTGGTGGACGACTACTCCCGCTACACCACGGTTTTCCCCTTGCAACGGAAGGCCGACGTGCCTACCGTCCTCGAGCCGTAGCTACTAGCGTGGGGTGGCGCCCAGGCCCTTTGTGAGCTCCGCCTGCACTCGGTCCGTGATGGTGAGTTTTCTTCCACTTGCCGAGAGACGTTCTGTCAGGGTCGGGGGATCCTCCAGTCTTACACGCTACCAGCTTTGCTGCAGCATAACGGGGTAGCCGAGCGACGCATCGGCCTGGTCATGGAGGTTGCCCGGAACTCCATGTGCCATGCCGGTGCCCCCTAGTTCCTGTGGCCTCAGGCAGTCCGCTACGCCGCGCACCATCTGAACCTGTGGCCCAGTGATGCACGGCCACGGGTGACGCCGGTCTCCCTTTAGACAGGTTCTCTGGGCGTAGCAGCTGACTTCTGCGTCTGGGGTTCTCTGGCTCACGTTCGCGCCACTAGCGCGAACAAGTTGTCTCCGCGCACTCGTGCCTGCGTCTTTCTTGGCTTCCCTTTGGACACCGCCGGCTGGCTGTTCTACAACCCACTCACCTACGAGTTCTTCAGTTCCCAGGACGTCACGTTTGACGAGTCTGTCTGTTACTACAGGAGTCGCCCCCACCGAGGTACTGAGGTCTTTTCCCCCCCACTGTTCCTCACCCTTGAGTCCCCCCAAATCGCCCCGGTAGCCCTCCCCCCCCTTTGCGTCCTGCCCCATCAGGTGTGTCGCACGTCACGCCGCAGCAGGAGAGGGTAGCGCAGGAGTCCCGGTCGTAGCAGCGGGTGCAGCTGCAGCCGCAGCAAGATAGGGCAGAGGAGGAGCCACAGGAGGTGCAGCAGGGGCAGGTACCATCGCAGCAGACGCCAGAGGAGGCGGAGCAGCAGTGACTGCGACTGCGTGACCTGCTCGACCCAGCACCTGCACGCTTGGTTCGTGGTCCCCTACCGTCCCCTCATGTTCCCCCTGTCCAGTCCCTTTCCTCGTCCCAGTGGACTTGTCATTCTCCCCTCAGTCGTACTGTGTCTCCAGAGCCCCGTCGGTCTCGTTACCGTGCAAACGGCCTGTTTCACCGTGTCCTCCGCTCTTGTGTTCCACCTTCTTCAGTCCTTCCATAGCCTCTTGAGTCATCCCTCAGTGTGCTTCACGACCCGTTGTCCGACTACCCCCGTGCCTCCCGTCCTGTCGTCTCCCGTGTTTTGTCCGCGTTGGTCACTCACCCAACTGCACCCCTGTCGTCTGTCTCAACACTTGTTACCACTGTCGCTGGCTTTGCCTCTTCCCATCGCCTTGACTATGCCGCTCACCTGGTGAGTGGACCTGCTCGTTATCTGTCCTCTGGGGGCGCTCCCTTCTTTCCCCTGGAGGTCCTTGAGGACAGGCAGTTCGAGCTTGGTTTCCTTGCGGCCGCTGTTCCTCATCTCTGCACCATGTTGCTTGCCCCTGAGGGGGATCCAGACGCTCTTGACGCTGAGGCGGTGTCGGGAGCTTGGGCCTCGTACTGGATAGCAGCTAAGGAGGCAGAGATGGCATCTTATAGGTCCATAGGCACCTACGTTGATGCCGTTCCACCACCTGGGGCGAACGTTGTCAGTGGCATGTGGCTCTGCAAGGTGAAGCGGCCGCCTGGATCACCACCCGTGTTCAAGGCGCATTACGTGGCGAGAGGCTTCAGACACCGAGAGGGGGTAGACTTCTTCCATACCTTCGCTCCCACCCCGAAGATGACCACTCTTTGAGTGTTGCTGCATATAGCAGCTCAGAGCGACTACGAGTTGCACTCTTTTGGCTTCTCCACAACGTTCCTACAGGGGAGCCTGCACGAGCAGATCTGGCTGCATCGTCCGCCTGGCTTCACTGGCTCTTTCCCTCCTGGGACCCAGAGGCAGCTGCGTCAACCAATCTACGGCCTGCGCTAGGTTCCCCGCGAGTGGCACGACACGCTACGTACGACTCTTGCAGCGCTTGACTTCTTTCCGTCGTCTGCCGACTCGTCGCTGTTCGTCCGCCGTGGCTCGACCCCGTTCTTTGTTCTTGTCTACGTTGAAGACCTGGTCTTCGCCACTCCCGACTGACACGCACTGGCCTCGTGCGACGTGTGGTCTCTGAGGTCAACACTGCAGATATCTTCACCAAGGCGTTGCCGCCTTGTGACCACCAACATTTCTGCACCCAGGCGATACGAGGAGTGCGTGAAGCTGTGCCGCAATTTCGCCCGCGATTGCGTGGACAATCTCAACGAGCGGCTTGATGACCTGGGGAAGCTGGGGCCGACGAAGCTGTTTCGGGCCGGAAAGTGGCCGAAGATCAAGGCACAACGGGAGAAGAAGTGCCGTGAGTGGCTTCTGGGATGCAGCAAACTCTTCCGCCACAAGCTGCCGGGATTCTACCTCAAGGCTGCAGAGAGGGAGCTTCCCACATTCTGTGCGATCATGGAGGCGCACCACGAGCTGGAAAGCTTCACGCAGGGACTGACCAACATTCTCGGGAGCGCGGACTCGAAGAGGTATGTCACCGTAGTGTGACAGCATGGTATGCCATGCGGGAGTCTAATGTATTTTGTGCATGTACTCTGTTTCCCACCCATCTCCGACAATGTGCCTGGCAGGAGGTGGCCCAACCTCGTCCTCCTGTGGCAGGCGATCGCGGTGCTCCCCCTGTCAACTGTGGAGTGCGAGAGAGGATTCTCGAGGCAAAATGTGATCAAGTCTTGGGTGCGCGGCGCTCTCTGCAACGCGCGGCTGGGGGAGTTGATGCAGATTTCGCTCCTGAATTACGACATCGAGTGGCCGGACGCCCTGGAGGTCTGGAGGTCTATGAGGAGGAGGCGCCCCGCAAAGAGCGTGAAGCTTGCTGTGGCTGATCGCGAAAGGAGGGGGAAAGCAAAGGAGGGTGAAGTCGAAGCAGGAGCTGCCCACCAGAACGATGGGGAGGAGGACGAGGAGGAGGAGAAGGTGGATGTGGAACAGGCCCTGGGCGACGATCAGGAGCTTGTGGGGGAGGAGGAGGAGGAGGACAATCCCTTCCTTTCGGACGATGAGGATGTGGAGGAAGTGTTCCACATCGATAGGCCTGTGCACTAGAGTAGAGTAGATGTAGGAGGAAATTTGTTACAGGCTGTACATTGCAGTAATCACCCTAGTAAAATTTGAAACACAACCCTGAATTCAGGCTGTTGACCCTGACTCATTAGAGTGACTAGTTGTTGAACCCTGAGCCATCAGGGTGACAATCTCCTGAACAATGTGCACTCATAATCGAGGGAAAAAAAAATTAGCGGCATCAGGGAGCCCTAAAGTGAAACGTCAGCCCTGATCCGGGGGCTTACGGTAAGTCCTAAGGGGAATGTACCATCTCGGAGTACATGGCTAGCTATGAACTTCTGCATTCCTTTGTATTCTTATATAACCCCCAGTATCTTATTGGTATAGTAACTTCTGTCGAGATTCTATTTTTTTTATACTGACAGAACCCGTAACAATCACAAAGCACTTCTGCTGCTTCACTTGAGCTACCAATCCTGCGATCGTATAAAGGGCCTTTAGATTACGACAATTAACAAGCGGAATCATGTTCAATAATAAATCGGAGTTCGATTGAGATCTATAACAATTTCTTATAATCAGGAACCTGCTGTTTATGTTTTCTTTCATGTTGCTGCAAGGCTGTCCTGTATCACAATAGCGTGTACTGATTGCAGTGGTTACTACTGTAGTGCGAGATGCAATGCACAAGTGAAGCAGTGTGGATAGATGAGGAAATGTTTGGAGCGCCCTCTGAGCAAGCAAGGGGATGCGTGCAGGATTTGCAACTAGGTTTTGTTGCGTTAGGGTTTCACCATCCATGGCTGCTGCATGTCTGCACATCGCGCACTCTCCCCTTCCTAGATTCCAGCGTATCAGCCGAGACTACTAAACATACGCTGCCCTTGGCGAGTCGATTATATCATATTTGGCTGTCTGCGTCTGCAGCAGCACTAGCGACAGCGCCTTGAGGCGTGCGGGCTGCTGAACCCCCTTTCTCTTTTTCGTGCACCCTCGTTGGTTTCTTTCTCTTTTTTTTGTTTGTTTGTTTTTTAGTTAGCTTATAATCGAACTCTTTTACGGTCTGAGCTTCAACCTTTTCGCGTGCGCCACCCGTCATGTCCTGGTTACTGAATTCGCTCGTCGGCAGCCCGCGAGCCGACGATGACGACGACGACGAAGAGGAGAACGAGGAGACTCTTCTTCCCGCCGCGGGCTCCTCCGACAATCCCGACAGCCCCGACAGCGCAGCGCGGGACGCGGCGGCAGCGGCGGGGGTGCGCGACGACCTCACGGAGCTGCAGCAGTCGCTCACCAAGCACTGGCGGGGCGTCGCCTCCTTCCTCACGGGCGAGCCCCGCCGGCCCGCCTCCGCCCTGCAGCCCCCCGCCGCCGCTTCCGCTTCCGCTTCCGCCGCCGTTTCCGCCTCCGCGGACGACGCGGCGCCTGTGGATCCGCCAGCGCCGATGTCGCCTGAGGAGACGGCGGGGCTGTCGCGCGACGAGGTTCGCGCGATGCGATGGCGGCAGGAGTTATCGCGGCAGGCGGAAAAGGACAAGGACAAGGAGAAAGGCAAAGCCGCCGCCGCTGCGGTGCCGCCAGGCCGCGGGGGTGCCGCCGAAGATGCGCAAGGGGCGGGTGAGGGGGGAGCGGAGGGGGAGGAATCGGAGGAGGATGCGAGCGCGCGCCACGCGCGGCTGTCGGGGGTGCGCGAGGACTTGGCGGAGCTGTCGCAGCGCGTGAAGCGCGGGCTGACGTCCGTAATCCGCGTGGTGACGGGCGACGACGCCGCCGCCGGCGCCGGCAAGGCCGCGAGGGCAGGCGATCGAGGAAAAGCGCGGCGGGGCGAAGGAGACGACGACAGCAATGGAGCGGAAGAGGATGAGGAGGGAGGGGAGGAGGAGGAGGAGGAAGACGACGAAGAGGAAGGGGAGGAGGGCGAGGGGGAGGAGGAGGAGGAGGACGGGGGCGATACGCTGTTAGAGGCGGCGCAGGAGGACATTAAAGCCATCTCCAGCACCCTCGCCACCGGCATCACGGGCGTCGGCCGCCTCGCGTCGCGCCTCTTCGCCGCCACCGACGCGCAGCTCGGGCGCGCGGAGGGCTCCGGCGGAGACGGAGAGTACGCGGAGGGCGCGGGCGCGGGGATGGGGGAGGGGGAGGAGTTCGGGGAGGCGGAGGTGGCGGTGGGCGTGACGGCGGACGTGGTGCAGTTCGCGCAGAACCTGTCGGGGCACCCCGAGACGTGGATCGAGTTCCCGCTGCCAGACGAGGAGGACGAGGAGGAAGGTCAGACTCCCCGCCCCGCGCGCTCGCTGCCCGCGCTTCCTCGCGTGCATTCTAGGCATTCTAGGGGGTAGTTCGCTCACTGTATTGCCCCGCGGACTGTTCCTCACGTCCTTGCATGCTTCGCGCTCGCTGCCGCGCTCACCCTCCCGCCATCCCGCCATTCCGCCATCCCGCCATTCCGCCATTCCGCCATCCCGCCATCCCGCCATCCCGCCATCCCGCCATCCCGCCATCCCGCCCTCTCGCCTGCCACTGGGGCCCGCTGTCCCTCTCTCCGTCAGTCGGCCACTGGCAGCGCCTGCCTGCCAGATTGCCACGCTTGTCGTACACCGCACCGCACCGCACACACTCGTGTCCCCCTGCCACACGCACCCAGCTGTGTGCCTCCTCGCGGAGGAGGCACTGTCTGTCCGTGTGTGTCCGGCAGCGCCACTGTCTCCTACCACCTCGTACCACCTCCTACCACTCCTTACTACTCCTATCTTGGACCGCCGTCCTCACATCTCGACACGCGTCCCCGCATTCATTTTCCCCTCGCACGTCCTTCCTTACACGGCAGTCCAAGTTCACAGCCCACATCCCGTTCGGCGCCCAGGCACGCACGGGCACGCACGGGCACGCTGGGCCTCACTCTTCGCCCTCCAACCCAACCCCTTCCACCCTGCCTGCCCCTCCCCTTGTACCCTCCACTTTTACCCCGTCCACTCTGCTCTACACTTTTCCTCTCTCCTCAGACACTCACTCGTTGTCTCTTCCCCATCATCTCCCTCCCACCCCCCTACCCCTCCTTCCCTTCTCCCCACCCCACACCCCTCCCTCCCTCCCCCCCTCCCCCCTCGCTCAGACTTCGAGGTGGCGGGGTCGCAGGAGGAGCACATAGAGGCGGTGGAGGTGAGGGTGCCTTTTGAGAATTCTCAAAAGCTCCTCCCCATCAACCCTCCCCCTCCCCGCCTGCCCCTCCGTTTTCTTCCCCCCCCCCTCCCCCCTCGCTCAGACTTTGAGGTGGCGGGCTGCCAGGAGGAGCACATAGAGGCGGTGGAGGCGAGGGTGCCGCGGCTGGTGGCGCTGCGCATGGAGCTCACCCCGCAGCACCTCAGCGAGCGCCGTTTCTGGAAGATCTACTTCGTGCTGCTGCACTCCCGCATCCCGCCCGCTGCTGCCGCGTGCCTCTCCACGCCCCCTGTGATGCTCCTGCCCTTCCCTGCCATGCCATGCCCTGCCCTGCCGTAGCCTGCCATGCCTGGCCTTGCCATGCGGTGATGTGCATGCAATGCCGTCCCTTGTCTTCTGTATCCCGTGCCCTAGTGCTTCGTGCATTCATTTCTGCTTTTCGTTCTACGCGTCGTCGTTTTTTTCGCCTTCATCTCTAAATGCTGATTCTTGCCAACGTCGGCATGTTGACCTCCTCCTCTCCCCCCCTTTCCCCAACCCCACCCCCACTTGCGCCCGTTATCCCTCCCCTTCGACCTCGCTTCTCCCATTCGCCCCTCTGCTATTCTCCACCGTCCGCGTGCATGTGTCAGATTCTGAGAGCCAGGGACCAGGTATTGGCAGCGCTACGCCAGCAGTCTGCAGCAGGCACGGCAGGAGACTCGCCCTCCCCTTCCCCTTCCGCTGATGCTGCCCCCACCGCTGCTGATGCTGCTGCTGGTCAAGGGGCAGAGGGGGTTAAGGCAGGGAGTGCACTGCACCAGGTGGGAGAGGAGGGAAAAAAGGGGGCGGGTGAGGCAGCCGGGAGCAGTGCTGACGTGGCAACAGCAGTCGCAGGTGTCAGGGATGAGGATGCGGATGATGATTGGCTGGAGGAGGAGAGTGGGGGGGTGCTGGGTGGTGGAGGAGGGGGAGGGGGGGGAGTGGGAGGAGGTGCAGGAGGGGTGGATGATGGGGAGGATGTGTCGTTCAGTGACTTGGAGGACGAGGATGAGGAGGGGGAGAAGGCTAAAGCAGACAGTAGCAGGGTGCAAGCGGGAAGCAGCGAAGCAGCAGCAGTGACAGCAGCAGAATCAGGAGCAGCTGGAGCAGGGGACGGGAATGATGACTTGGATGATGATTTGGATGGTGAATTGGATGGTGAGGATGACACTGAGAGAGAGAATGTGGCCGCTGTTGCTGCAGGTGAGGGTGCGAGCGCTGTTGGCAGCAGTGCTGTGCAGGGCGAGCAGACACAAGGCCCTGCAGGAGCGGCAACCGCAGCTGATGATGCTGCTTCTCAGACTGCTGCGGCTGCTGGGGAGGCAGGGGATAAAGACGATGTTGCTGAGGCAGGTGCGAGTGGAGGAGGTGCAGAGGAGGAGGGTAGCAAGGAGGTGGGGAAGGGAGGGGCTACGGAGGTGAGCAAGGAAGGCTCTAAGGAGGGATCGCCTAGGGATGGTGAGGGGGCGGAGTGGGTGGATGTGCAGGGGAAGGGCAGAGACGGGGGCAATAGTAGCTCCAGCGGCAGTGGTAGCGGGTCGGATAAGACCGACTGGCTGACGGTGGGAGAGGAGGATATCGCTTGATGCTGCTGCTGTTGCTGTTCCTTTCGAATCAAGGTAGGGTATCGTGGAATTGTGGAGAAACGGCAGCATGGGTGGCGTGGGGAAGTTGGTCATGAATAGGCCCATGGGCTCATCGTGTAGTTGTACTGAGCGCTGCTTGCACTGCCCGTCTCAGGGAAACGGCTCCTCTGAGGAGTGGGAGTGTGGTTAGCCATGGACGGTTACGTTCTTGCAGCATCTTGAGTCCGATTTTTCACTTGAAACTCCGTTTCCTTTTTCTCCCATTTCTTGCACTCTGTGCTCTTTTTGTGATTCCTTACGGTATTCTCATCTCAGGTAGTTCTTGGTGGACCTTGCACTGGACCATTTATTTGTATGGGTGGGTAGTGGTGCTCCCCTTGGTTGTGTTGGAGTACCTACATTGGACCTTGGTTGTATATAATCGTGGTTCCAGAAACGGTGTCAGCAGTTGCAAAGCAGCGTAGACACACTAGTGGGATTCGGCAGCATATAAGTACCAAGTTGTGTGGAAAGTTCTGGGGGGCGACGACAACGTGCTACATACTGTACCGTTGGTTCATCAGATTATGGAGAGACTAGAGCTAAATAGGTGTGCCTGGATTAGATTGGATTGGATTGGATTGGATACAATAAGTCTGGCTTATCATTCTACGTTGCTGTCGCATCATAGCTTTATTCTGAAAAGAAATGATAAGGAAATTATCAAATGAATGCATTAATTGCCCTTCCCAATCAGTTTGCACACTACCGAGTCAGATTTTGTCCTCATCGCAGTTCGCGAGCTTCGAAAAGAGGCGTCATTCGGTCTGATTGGCGTACGAAAGAAGTTCCGTGCCAGGTTTGGCCCTTGACAGCCCACGTTTTACATCGCCGAGCCCATCAATACTTCCCTCCAAGCAGGGAACTGAATATGGACGTCGTGCATGCAACAAATACTCATCTTCAAACCTCCACTCCTCACGCCCCCTGTCACCTCAACTAGGGTCTCCTAAATGGTTATTTTGACCCAAGAAGCTAGATTCACAGCAGATTTTGGATAGGTGTGGTTTTCATTGTAGCAGACTCGATCTATCTTGCGTGTCCCGTTCCGTGGTCATGGGCCAGCAGCAGTCAGCCAGTGCCAAGCAGGAAGCGCCGAGCGCCGAAGACGCGAGTGGTACTAGCAGCAGCAACAGCAACAGCAGCGGCAGCAGCAGTAGCGAAGGTAGCAGCGATAGCAGCGGCAGCAACGGAACACGCAGCCGCACCGGCAGTCGTCGTCGTCGTCGTCTCTCTTTCCAGGAAGCTGCGCGTCGAGCCACCCACCAGCATCGCCGTCGTAGTTGCACCAGCGCTCGACCCGCGGACCCTCCGCTTGCTTCGCACGCAGTCCAAGCCGACGTGGCAGTCGACGCACCAGCCACGTCAGACCTGTCCCTCTGGAGCCACCGTTTACGCGCCGCTAATGGCTGCGACGCGGCCACTCCCTCACTCGCGCCCGTTCCCGATCCGACGAACGCCGTCGGTACCAGCAGGATAGACGGCTCTTCCTCGCATGCTGCACTGCATTTCCCCGATACAAGTCACCCCGCTTCTGGATCTCAAGCCGTGCCCTTTCCGTCACCTCGTCACCTCTCCCCCCCTCCCGCCGCCGCATGTTCGATTGCGGCACTGCCCGCCGACGTGCTACTGCACTGCCTTATCCGCCTGCCGCGCTCCGATTGGCCCAGGATGCGCGCCGTCTGTCGCACGTGGCGTCGCCTCGTCGCCTGCCCTGATATCCTTCGCCTGCGTCGCGCGGACGGTCGCAGCGAGTCGTGGCTGTTCGCCGTCGAGTGGATGTTCAAAGGCGGCTGTAGCGGCGGCGGCGGCGGCAGGCGCAGCTGTAGCGGGCACGCCGCGGGCAGTACCAGTGGCGGTGGCGGGAGCGGGGGAGTGTGGGGGGGAGGCGGTCGTAGAGGAGGCGGGGCGACGACAACGGCGACAGTGAGAGGGGTGGGGGTAAGCAGCGTGGACCTATGGGGCAGCGGTCGGCGGGAGTGGGGGGTGGATGGGGGAGGGCAGGACGATGTTGCGAGCAGAGAGGAAGTGGGGGACGGGGGGAACGGGGAGGAGGTAAGAGACGGGGATGAGGAAAGCGGGGGAGGTGCGGGCAGTGCAGCGGCACGGCAAGGGCGTGGGCGTGCAGCACAAGACGAGGTCCATCCGCTAGCAGCCTCTCACGCCCACGCTGCTGCAGCCAAGAACCGGACCAGAGCGCATGTGCTGCTGCAGCAGCAGCAGCAGCGTACAGCCGTCAGCAACAGCCCCCGCGCCCGCTCCGCCTCCCTCTCCCCGTACACCACAGCCCCCGCGGGCACTTCGTCTTCCCTGGCGCTGCTGTGGGCGTATGACCCAGCAGCCCAGCGGTGGTACAGCCACGGGTGCCTGCCGCCCATGCGCGGCATCTGCCACTCCTCCACGCTGCTTGCCCTCGGGCCCTGCCTCCTGTTGTTGGGTGGTTCCTGCAGCTCCGCCTGCTGCACGCCGGGAGGGGGCGTGTGCGGCCCATGTGAGTGGGGTGGGGGGTGAGGACGAGGAGTTGGTGAAAGGTGGTGTGGTGTGGGGTATGGGCGGGAGGGAGTGAGGGGGAGCGAGGGCTGAGCTAATGACGTGAGGTGGTGAAACGGGATAGCAGTCTGACAGTCAGTATGCAGCCTCTCGTTTCCCTCCTTGCAACCCTCATAGTCCAATTCTCCCATTCCCCCCCTCCCATCCCCTTCCCCCCTTCCAATTCTCCCAGCGAGGGCCGTGTGGCGTTACAACGTGGTAACCGGCAAGGCGAGGCGGCTAGCGGACATGACATGGCCTCGCTTCAACTTCGCTGCTGCCGTGCTGCCCTCCTCCGGCCGCATCATAGTGGCCGGCGGCACTGGCACCACCACCACCATCACCACCACCACCATCGCCGCTGGTGCTACTACTGATGCTGCACACACTGCCCTGAGTACCGATGGTGGCAGCAGCGATGGCAGTGGGGGGGAGGCGAGGGAGTGGGCAGTGGTGGGCGACGACGCTCTGCAGGCAGCAGAGCTGTACGATCCCACCACCAACCGCTGGCTGCCCCTGCCCGCCCTGCCCCACCCCACTCGCTCCGCGCAGGGCCTTGTGCTGGCGGATGAAAGCTTCTGGGTGGTTTCCACCTCGTCCCTCTGCGCCACGCGGACACTGTCTGCTCAGGTGCTGGACGCGCCTGCACTGGCTGCTGCTGTTGCTGCTGTATTGGGGGGAACGGAACGGGGCAGGAGGAGGAGTAAGGAAGGCAGGGGGGGAAGGCGGGAGCAGCATGGGGCAGGGGATGTGAGCGGGGGTAGGGCGAGTGGTGAGGATGAGAGAGTAGGCAGTGGGACACATACGTGGGGTTGCACGTCCCCCCCGTCTGCATGGCGTGTGGTGCCGAGCATGTCACCAAGCACCGTGGCAGGGCTGGTGGCCACACGCCTGACCACAGCCAATGGGCACCTTGTTCTCACCAACCACGTGGCACCCATGTGCCACCACGTGCTACAGTACCTGCCTCATACCAACTCCTGGCGCGACGCTGGGAGGCTTCCTGTGTGCAGGTTCCGGGGGTTTGGGGTTGTGGGGGTGAATGGGAAGCTGCTGGTGGAAGGGGGCGTGGAGGCGGCTACGGTTGATGGAGCAGTGGGGTTGGATCCTGGCAGGTTCCTGCAGCGCACACCGTATGTGAATGCCTTCCAGCCTAGGCTGTGGGGCGTGCAGGAGGGGCAGGAGGTGAGGCATGAGCGGGACAGCGGAAGGGGGGACAACTGTGCGAGAAGCAGTGGAGGAGATGGAAGGGGACATGGGTTTAGGCATGGAGGTGATGAGGCGCAAGGAGGCATGGACGGTCATGGTGAAGTGGCAGTGGGGCTTCGTGCTGACCCGGCAATGGGGCTTCTGGGGAGGGGAATGGCTGAGAACGAGACGAGCAGGCAGAGTGTCAGCCACCCGAACCAAGGGGACATTGGCGGAGCAGATGGGCCTGTGTGTAGAAGTGAAGCGGGGCAAGCGGGTATCAGAGAGAATGCTAGTACCAACATGCATGCACCTGCACATGAGCAGCAGGGGAATGGAATATCAGCACCTGGGGGTGGGCATGGAGACGGAGAGGGTGTGGAAGGTAGTGCAGGAAGTGAGGTTGTGTTGCAGGAGGCAGTGTGGAGGCCTGTGCGGCCGTTTGGCAATGCGGGTGTTCCTCGCGTGTGCCAGTGGTGCATAGTGTCCACGCTTTAGGTTAGCTGCTAGGGCATTTTTATTTGTACTACCGTAGAAGCAGTTCGCTTCACATCCCCATCACCTGTTTTTGAACAGAATGCGCTGGAGGTCGACCTGCCTGTTTGCTAAATTGCCTTGCAACTAATTTACTGTAGTCAATTTTGCCATAGCTTTGTTGCGATTTCCGTCGATGTAACGGTATGGCGTGGTGATGGCGGCTGGAGTTAGTTCGAAGCGTTTGGCGATGGTGTCTGTGTATTTTTCGGCACTGAGGTAGATTGCGTTTTCGCCGTCTTGTAAGTTGAGTCCCAGGTACTGTGTCATGGTAGTCGCGACGGTGAGTGTGAGATCCCGCTGCAGCTCCCCTTCAAACCAGGTTGTTACCGGTATGTCGTTGGTGGAGCCTATGTAGAGGAGATCGTCTACGTAGACGATGAGCAGGATGTAGTCGGTCCCCTTAGTGAGTCGGTACATTCCTTGGTCATGCGGTAGTTGGTAGAATCCGATGCGGATTAGTCGGGCATAAAGATGCTGCTGCCACAGTCTTGGGGCTTGTTTGATTCCGTACAGCGATTTTTACAGCTGACAGACTTGGTTAGGGCCTGCATTAGACCCGTGTGGATGTTCGACGAAGATTTCAGCATCGACAGGGGCGTAGAGGAAGGCGTTGGCGACGTCGATTTGTCGGAGTTTCTTCCGGTTCATGGCGGGTATCGCGAGGAGAATTCGGAGAGAGGTGTGTCTGCTCACTGGTGCAAATGTTTCGGTGAAGTCTTGTCCATGCTCTTGGTCGAAACCGCGCACGACCCAGCGTGCCTTGAATTTGTCTATTGTTCCGTCGGCTTTTGTTTTCACGCGGAAAACCCATTTTCCCGTGAGAATGGTCTTGTTGCGTGCCACTTCGATAGGCACGACTTTCCAGGTGTTGCGTTCTTGCAGCGCCTTTAATTCTCTGTCCATGGCTTCGCGCCATTTTTCCCTGTGTCCCCCCCCCAAAACCTGCTGAATGGTGGCAGGCTCCTTAGGTGGTGCTGCTCCGTGGACAGCGGTGACGAGTCCTAGTATCTGCAGTCCACTCTGTGTGTAGCGGGGAAGATTTGCGTCCTCGGGATAAGCTGCTTCATCTCCTGCTTCTGGATCCGGTAAGAAATTTGGTCCTATGCGTTTGGAGACGTTGGTGTTGACCGGTTGGGGTGTAACGTAACCGTTGTCGGCGAAGTCGAAGTAGGCTTCGGCGTTGACACTTTCGCGAGGGTTGTCGTTGTCCATGGGAATGTCCACTGAGCAGTACGGAAGGGGTCCGGCTTCTTCCGAAGCTCCGTCCACGTTCTGCTCGTCCCATTCAGCTTCGTCTGCTGCCGAAGCGAAAGCTCAGTTGCCACGGAAGCCGCCCGTGAGGTCTCGATTTGCTGCCAGGTTGTCCAGGTACGTTTGAAGTGTGAGTCGCTCGTAGAAAATGACATCACGTGCTGCTACTGTTTCCTTTGAGTGGACGTCGAAAATCTTCCATGCGTTGTAGTGCTTTTTGATGCCCAGGTGTAGCCCCCACTGTGCGCGTTGGGAAAATCTTCCGGCTCTTGCAGTGTGCGGTCGGTACTATACCATGCACCCAAAAACTCGTAACATTTTTGTGTTGCCCAGTTTTCCTGTCCACAGCAGGTGCGGTGATGCGTTGTTCGGGAGTGATGATGACGAGAGCAAGTTGTGCAGCATGACAGCGTGGTCCATCGCCTCAGGTCACTGGTGGTTGGGCAGTGCATGCCGCGCAACAGTTTGCGCATGGTGTTCTGGAGAGTTCTGTTCATCCGTTCTGCCACGCCTTGCTGTTGATGGGCGTAGGGAAGCGAGATGAGTCGCTTGATGCCTCGTTCTGCGAGATACTGCTTGAACCTTTGTGACTGATATTCTCCTCCCCCGTCTGACTGGAAGATTTTCAGCTTCGCTCCTGATTCTCGTTTTTCCACAGGTAGCCAGGCGACGAAGGCTTCGAAGGCCATGTCGCGACTTGGAAGGTTGAGATGCCAGACGTATCGGGTGGCGGCGTCGATGAAGGTAATCACATAGTTGTATGCTCCCTGTCCATGTTCGCGAGTATACAAGATGTCGCTGTAGACTTTCTCCAATGGTGCGTAAGCTGGCGCGCTTGGATTGTGGCGAGAGACAAACGGTTGATGAGGTAAGTCGGCTTCGGGACAAATAAAACAAGTACCTCGGACTCGTTGAAGTTCTCGGCTGTCGGGTAGAAGTAAGGAATCTTTGTCGAGTACTGCTGCCTTGATCGTGTTGTTTAACGTTGTGTTGCTTGGATGACCCAATCTTTCGTGCCACAGTGATTCGCTCGCACGATGTCTTGGTGAGCGCTTGTACAGGTCGGAGTTGGAATAAAATCCTGCGGTGTGATTGACGCTTCTGTGAACTTTGCGTGGAGTGGGAGATAACTGCTGCGCAGGAGTCGGTGGAGTGTCGTTGATGAGAGCTGGTGCCGTCGAAGAACTCGCGATTGATGTCATAGTTTCTGCTATCGATGTTGCTGTTGCTGATGTTGTCTCTGGTGCTGCCGATGTTATCTCTGCTTGCTGAATTGTTGCTAACGCTCTTGTTCTTTCTGCTTCAGGTATGGTGTGTGAGTACCAGAATCCTCCAGGACTGAAGTCGGGGTCGAGATCTGGTGGATGTGTCCAAGAGGCGAAGTTGACAATGGCGTCGCTGTCGGCGGTGCCTTGTTCCGGAACGAAGTCAAGAACGAAGACGTTATTCTTCAGGACCACCTTGCCAATGTAGAGTCCGCCCTTTCTGTGGTATAACTTGAACTTCTGAGTGGTGCTATCTGCTTCGAGATGAATGCCCTTCGCCATTAATTGACTGACGCTGAGTAAGTTGTAGCCGAGTCCTTCTGCAACTAGAACCTTCGACATTTGTAGAATAACGTTGGTTTCTCGAGATTGAAGTTGAACGATCCCTTGTCGTCGTGTGTGCAGGTTCTGGTTGTTGGTGTCAGATATACATGCCTTAGCCTATGTAGGCTGTAGTGGGGTAGACACTAAGGGGTACAGCTTTCATATTTGTATCTCACACTTTCCTAGTCCATTCATTCCTGTTGTTCTCTTCACATGGTATAGAGCGGGTTCCCACATGGGACCGTTCCTTCCTAAGGGCCCACCATAATTGTTTTTTAGCTGCCCGACGCCCTGCCCTAAATTTTTTTTTCGCGGCCCCTACGTGGCCCCTTCGTCGCCTAGCGCGCCCCTAGCGTGCCCCTACCCGGCCCCTACACGGCCCTTACGCGGCCCCTAGCGCGCCCCCTACCCGTCCCTGACGCGGCCCCTACGCGGCCCCTGACGCGCCCCCTACGCGGCCCCTGACGCGGCCCCTACGCGGCCCCTGACGCGGCCCCTACGCGGCCCCTACGCGGCCCCTGACGCGGCCCCTAAGCGGTGTCAGAAGTAGTAGGAGTACGGCCTAGGCTTAGTAGCCTAGGCCACAGTAGGACTAGTAACGAGGAGCCAAGTACGAGCTAGGATTGTGTGCAGGAACAGAATTGAGAAGGAATGATTGAACTAGCAAGCAGCAGGATACAAATAGCAAACCCTAAGGGGCTGTACTCACTATAGAGTACCCCACTGCAGGCTACACAAACAACATATTCTGACACACCCCCATAGCCAAAGTGGGGTGTAATCAGCACAATGAGCAGTCATAGCAATAGTTCATAATTATCAGCAAAGCTAGAGGCTATCACAGAGGGCAAGTGAGGAGGAGGAGGGACTATGAAAGGAGAGAAGATGGGAGGCGACGACTGAAGCTGCAGACACACGGGCAACAGAAGCGGCTGACACAGTGGCGGCTGACACAGTGGCTACCGAGACAGAGCGCCCCGGAATACTGGAGTAACTGGCTCTGCGGCTACGACGAGCGGCAGAAGCAACGGACCCACGGGCGACTGGTGCAGCAGGCTCTCAGTGGCTACCGAGACAGTGCGTCCCGGAATACAGGAGTAACAGGCTCTGCGGCTGCGACGAGCGGCAGGAGCAACGGACCCACGGGCAACAGGTGCAGCAGGCTCTCTGAGCTACCAGGACAGTGCGCCCCGGACTACAGGTGCTGCGGACGACAAGACAGCACCCTCCACTCAACCTCCCCCAACAGTCCCACACCCCTCTCACACACCCCCTGCTTCACCCCTAGCTCCACTCCCACATCACCCCCCTAGTGCCACTCCCCACGACTCCCACACCTCCACCCCCCTCAGCGGCAGCTGCAGCAGTGGGAGACGAAAAAGGGGGGGGGGGGGGGGGGGGGGGGGGGGGGGGACGGGGCGGGCTTCTGCAGAGGCGGCTCGCGCGGGTCCTGGGGCGGCTGCTGCAGGTGCGGGCTGCTCCAGAGGCGGCTGCTGCAGGTGCGGGCTGCTCCAGGGGCGGCTGCTGCAGGTGCGGGCTGCTCCAGGGGCGGCTGCTGCAGGTGCGGGCTGCTCCAGGGGCGGCTGCTGCAGTGGCGGGCGGCTCCAGGGGCTGCTGCTGCAGTGGCGGGCGGCTCCAGGGGCGGCCGCCGCAGTTGAAAGGCAGAAGGGGGGGGGGGGAAAACGCACGGCCCCCAGGGCGCCCCGAGGGGCGACGAGAAGGGAGCCGCGCGGCCCCCCCCCGGGGCGCCGCGACGGGCACCAGGGAGGGCGCCGCGACGAGCCCCCAGAGCCGCCTCGACGGGCGACGGGGGAGGGTGCCGCGCGGGCCCCCCGAAGTCGCCTCGACGGGCGACGGGGAGGGCGCCGCGCGGGCCCCCCGAAGTCGCCTCGACGGGCGACGGGGAGGGCCGCGCACGGCCCCCGAAGTCGCGTCGACGGGCGACGGGAGGGGACCGCGCGCGGCCCCCGTGGTCGCCACGACGGGCGACTGGTGGGGAGGCCGCGCGGGCCCCCAAGGTCGCCTCGACGGGCGACGGAAGGGGAGGCCGCGCGGGTCCCCGAGGTCGCCTCGACGGGCGACGGGAGGGGAGGCCGCGCGGGTCCCCGAGAGCGCCTCGAC